TGTTTGGATGCCATAGTGTGCTCAGTGTCTCAGACTGGCTTCTGTACTAATTCCTGTCAAGCAACAATTTCATTGCTTCTTTTATTTCTTTTTTTTTTCTATGCCACAAAACTGTTCATTTTGTGCCATTCCTTTGTATTTTAGTGCATAACATCACTGAGTACATATCTTTCAGCAGTTTATGATGACAATGCTCAGACGACTCAGGGAAAAACAGAAAACAAAACCAGAAATAAGGACTTGAAAACACAGCTGGAGATGGATGTCTCTAAAAGCCAGAGAAGAAATGTGACATATGCAAACAAAAAACAGTTTAAGCTGTTCCTCTGCAAATCTTTGACTTGCACTTTCTGACTTGCTATTATTTTCCTTTAAAAGAGTTTTAGGAAAAAAATTTGATGCTTAATAAGCTAGTTCACAATAATCATATAACTAAAGTTGCATATAGAAGGTGCAGGAAACACCCAACTCTGTAAGGACAGATGTGATTTACTCATCCAAATTAGTGCTTGACTAGTTATGTCGTAAAGAGATGAAGATTTCTGATACTACATTTAATCTTTTATTCATCAGGAATGTTTTGGGTCAGTTGATTTGTTTTTACTTAAATAGGAGAGACTTTCTGGAAAGATAATAAATTAATTTAAATTAAAATTTTAAAAATAAACTCTTGTTTTGCAGCACAAGTACAAGAGATTCTGTCAGCAGCCTTCTCTACAGAAAGATGGACTTCTATCTCATAGCTGTTAAAGAAGAGAAAAATTATTAATCCCATCAGTTCTCAACACTAAAATAAGGCCTAATACTCTTTTCCAGTGATATTTTTTTTTAAATCAAAAGAAGCACTTTTTTGGCATTTTCTGTTTGCAATCAAATTCTCTGTGGTACTCTTTATGGTGACCTTTTCACTAAAGAAACACTAAAAATCATTAAAACTGATATTGTCACATAAGAGAATACAAATGTTTAACAGGAGCCCATTTGAAAATGTTTATTGTGATTTTTTTCTCCCCTCAGAGTAAAGCAATAGCATAATACCCAGCTGCATGATAATATTGGCAAGCGAGGCCATGAATTTCAACTGCAAACCCTAAACACTGAATGTGCTGTGCTTTTTAAAGAAACCCCCTTTTGTATGAGATATGTAATACCCTTTTGTCCTGGAGCAGTTTGCATAATAATAGTTTTCTTTACTTATTCGCTGTCATGTGACGGAGCTGCAAAGTGAGCTACACAGCAACAGCATAAAAGACAATTTTCCATTTTTCTCTAATTTTTCAGAGATTTTCTTGTCTTTTAAATGTAAATACTTCTATCTTCAGAGAAGATATCTAGTTATAAACATTCCAGTCCTATTTGTTACTTTTCTTAATATCTACCAAACTATTTGTGCTTTTCTTTTTCATAAGAAACAGGAACATTATTTCCTTTGCATTCACTCCTGAAGAGCCTGAAGCATATTCGGAAAATTGGCATATGATCAACTGGTGTAAATCTGTTCAAAAATACCTCACTTAAGAATCTAACAGTAAATTTACTTGATCAGAGTAGTCAAGAAAAATTTATGTTACTAACTGTATAATTTCTATCAGAGTTGTGCATGTGTTAGACTGTGCCACTGAGATGAAAGACAATACCTGACTGAAGAGCTGTCTTAAAAAACTAGATATCTAGGGTACATCTGAGCATAAAATAAAATTGTAGAAATTTTCTGATGAGATTTCCTATATAATTTTTTTAAATATTCCTCTTGGGCTCTTCAGTGTGTTCTGGTCTGAGTAGTAAGTAAGGAGTACAAAGGAGATACAATTGCATTGAAGTGAGCTCAGTCTCAGTCACAATGAAATCTAAGAGAAGGACTAAAGGCAGGGAAAGTTCCTCAGCTAATGTACAGTAAACTAGCCATTATTCTAACTGCTGCTAGCAAAAGATTTTTCCTTTGAAATCAGCAGAATTATGCCAAGTTTCTCTAGTTGTGACTTTGGCCATAAAATTACACATTGTTTTGAACCTCTGGCCTGTAAGCACTGCAAAGGGACCATTTCCAGAAAATCCCTACAAAGTAACAAAGGAAAGCAATGCTGTTACCCATTACCTCAAATTCAGAGTGCAGAGAGAGTTCATAATCTTACTAGGAAGCATTTAGAGGTTCGCAAATTGAAAAAAAGTCAAAACCAACTGAGTTAGATTATTTTGGAGAAGTTCACAAGGTGGATGAACATATAACAATACAGATAAGAGGAGATAAGAGCACTGCAAAGAATACCCAGGTAGAAAATAAAGCCTCCAGAGCCCCAGTAAATTATTTTACAGCTCCACATATTAAAATAAGAGACTATTAGACACAGACATCCTTCAAAATTTAGATTAATAATCAGCATATCACTTATAAAGCAAACATATTTTACTGTTTTCTAAAATATCTAAGACCTGTCTTTGCCAAACAGCTCAACAAGAAATGCTCACAGCTCCAACCAGTAGAAATTAATACCAGAGACAGGAATCCTATCACTGAAGCCATGAACACACTCCAGGTAAGACAGTATTATAATGATTTTGTGTACTGTAAATCTTTTAATCTCGACTCTCACAATTGAGCCATGGGGTTCTGTCCTCTGAGAAATAGGAGTTGCTTTATATCAGTTGGATACAAGACACTCTTAATGCACTGCAGGCTGAACAACATGTCTTACACCCTGTGTTAGTGGCAGAGAAATATATTAGCTTAGATCATTCTCTTTGCCTGGAGGCCCTGAAAGAAAGTGTTTCAGGAGGAAAAAGTTCAGTGGAGCTTTCTGAAATACTTTACAAGAAAGGTACAGCCCATCCTTTACTTATTATGTCATTATAAGGCACTCTGAGGTTTTTTAGGAGTAAGTTCTTGTGACTCATAGTCATCATATACCTGTCCTTGGGATACTGCTCTTTTTGGTTTTTTTATACCCACTTTACTTGTTCCACTCCCCCCGTTTCTGGGGTTCTGTGATTTTTTTTTCTGCTTCCTAACAGATGTAGCAAGAACCTTATGTACTCACCAGTTTCTTTTTTAATTTCTTAGAAGTGTTGAAGTTTTTGTTCACAGAACACTGAATGAGAATTAAATTTTTCTGTTAAAAAATACCACAATTTTTCAAATATGTCATTTTTATGTGACTATTTTAAAGTGATGCAGATGGCAAAAAATTGGAGGAATCAGCCATGGGCTTGTTTGATTTTCTGAAACAACTGTTGCTTAGTTTGTGAGGTAATGAAGTCTCTACTAAAAGCACTACATTCACCTTTTTTCTATTAATAATAGTCATTCAGATGATTTGGCAAGTCCATCCAGGTATTGCATGGTGTGCAGCCTTTTCTGACACTTTGATACAAGTAATTTTTATTACATGGAAAGTATAAGTCCATTCCTGGCAAGCATAATTCAGTTTGATCCTGATACTGTGCATTTGGACTTGGAAAAGCAAATCTTCCCTAGTGCTAGCTGCAGTGGGTAGTGCTGCAAGCAAATGACACACTAACACAAATTTACTTCTATTCTCTTCCTGTGACAACTCACTAAGAATGCACCTCCAAGGAAGATGAGCTTTTTCACTATTTTGTGGCATCTGTGCACGAAAATCACTGCAAATAGTCTTCTGGTGATCCAGTCACTGAGAAAGACTCCCAAACAGCCAAGACCTGAGTCTAAATGAACTTAAAAGCTTATACTATGTTCTTTGGTTATGTGTGCTCTGAAACAAAAGGTTTATTCTCACATGTTGGCATGTCTTTATTGGCACCATTTATTTACTTTTTATAGGAGTGAGAGCATGACTACTTTTATGCCAGCACATTTGATTGTGTATGACTGACTTTGACACTTACAGGGATCTATTGTTGGTTAGGAGGAAAAAAATTTCTGTAGAGTGTTTAGTTAACTCTTCGCTGGAGTTAAACAAGACATATTTTTAGAAATCTCTTAAGGGATTATTTCTAATGGCACCATTGGGACCCTTGCTTTGCTTATAAAAATATATGTGAATTTATAAAGGACAATGATACAATTATCCCAATTATAGCTTCAGGAAAAACCATCACACCTCTTTCAGAGGAGGTGCACAGATATGGACAGCAGCATATTTTACTGTTCCATGGGCAGACTGGCTTTTATTTTCAATATGACACATGTTGTTCTACCACTTATGATGATCAAAATTAATTCCTTTTAAATCAAGATACTGTATTTCCTAAGTGGAATTAGTCCTTATTCATGTGAGTACAAGACAAAGAATATTCTTAGCCAGGATTTTAATATTGCCTGTGATGAAAATCTGCATGCTTGAAGTCTCTCAGAATACTTAGATCTTTGAGAGACAGACTCTCAAAGTCTGTTCCAGTTTAATCCAAGAAATTGCAAACTCAGTCTCATTGTAACAAAAAACTTATATTCATGGGCCCTTTTTTCTTTTCTAGATTAAGAGTTCTGTCCTCTACATTCCCATTAAGCTTTTCTGCAAAGTCCTTTTAGAGCTGAATAAACCTTGTTAATGTTGTTAATTACATGCTATATTAAAAACACATCTGGAAATCACATTTCTCACAGGTTTAATTAGTAACAGTTACTTGACTCCCCAATGAGCTGCTTATGAAGATGGAGGGACTCTCAGATGGACAGAACAGAAGTTTGAGCTGAAGAGGATCTTTTTTAAAGATCCTCAGTTCTCCCAACATCTTTGTGTATATCAACCTGGGGTGTGGCTGTCCTTCTTTACACTTGGTGTCAAGCATGAATGACTGTAACAGCACATCCCCTGACAGTGAAGTGCTCCCTCAGTAGATGTGAGCTTATTGTCTGGGTCCTGTTGCTAGGAAAAGCAGCTGATCAGGGGGCCAGCATGGCAGCCAGTTGATGTAATACATGCTTGATAAAGCTCTTATCAGAGCCTTGCACGCTTTCAGGAATGCTCACGATCAGCTGGATTTATCAATATGAAAAAGCCCCATTCTTTCTTCATTTCACTCACCTGTTGGAAGCTGGCCCCACAGAGGCTTGAAATCACCAGTGTCACCTCCTGCTCCTCCTGCCCATCACACAGTGGCTGAGGACGCAGCCAAGGGAATGCCATGGCAGGAGTGTTTTCCCTCTGTAGCTGTTGTGGTGATGTGAGCAAGGCAGAGTGCTCTGAGCTGCTCTTCTCCAGCCCTGCAGCTCCTTTGAAGGCCTCTCAGGTGCTCCCTGCAGTGAACCATCTCACTCTGGCAGAAACAGAGGAAAAAAGGCCATCAGAACTGAACTGGGGACAAGTCCCTGGCATAATGTTCAATTGCAATTTTCTCTTCCCAAGCTTTGGGAGGGGACCACATTCAGGGAGGAGGAGGAGGATGATTTTATTTAGCCACTAGATACTTTTGATTAATGTAAGAATATGAAATCAAATGCAATCCATTATGTTTTATAAAAACTCCCATGTTAATTATTATTAAGCAAGTAATGTCAATTCCTTATGTGGCAAACAGTTTCCATCAGTCAAAAGGGAGTATTTCTTTAACAAAAATTACATTATTTTCTCTGTATTTCTAAGAAAGATGACCAAAGGAAAGCCTTTAATCTTGGAGAAAAATCTAAGGGAAGTGTTTGCTAGATACATTAGTGACTTGCTGATCCATGATTTAACATCACTGCTCCTTTTTGCAGCTGCTGTGTAAAATGCAGATTAGCTCTCAGATACCTTTCAGAAAGGATTTGATGGATGGCCCTGGGTTGCCCTAGCAGCCCCTACCCCCTTAAGCTGAGTGATTATTGAAGCAAAGGGGTGGCACTTCCCTTAGCCAACCTTGGCAGTCTCTATATACCTGGGCACTTTCTGGCCTTTCAAATGCACTGGGGTGCAACTCAAAACTCCCTGATACTTGCTCTTCTCTGAGGGGGAGGGATCATTGAGGGGATATTGCTGTACTGGAGACAGGAGCAATTACAGGCTTTCAAAATTTGATGGAATGATACTGGGATAAGTTATTTTGTAAAAATGTAAACAATGTGAAAAGGAGAAGGTGATGTGCTGGTTACCCTCAAGTAAGTGAAGCTTTCCTGTAAGCAACAAGTTCTACAAAGGCATGCTGGTGAGCCTCCAAAACTGACTGAGAAATAGATTTTAACAACTGCCAGTGCAAAGTTTGTAACTTCAAAGACGTTGGGCATATTTGCTCGTGCAAAGTTTTGTATCCTCATGTCTTTGGTCTACTGAACCAGCCAGTCTGCTGCTAGTGGAATAATTATAGGCCTGGGGTTTTTGGTTTTTTGGGGTTTTTTTTGGGGGGGTGGGGGAGCAGGGAAGGGGGAGGTTGTTTGGTTTTTTATTTTATCAAATACATCCGTCTCAGTCGTGAAGAGTTGGCTGGAACATGGGGGGGTGGGGGAGCAGGGAAGGGGGAGGTTGTTTGGTTTTTTATTTTATCAAATATATCTGTCTCAGTCGTGAAGAGTTGGCTGGAACAAGAACTGTGGAATATTTGGGTTTACTAATAGCTTCATTAAAAAGCACCACTATGGTATCAATTTTATCAGGGATAATTCTGTAACTTGGAAGATCCTTTGTAACCTTAGGAAGGTTCACAGAGTACAGCAGGGGACAGAGCAGAGGAAATCAAGCAAAAAGTGCAGATGCACCCAGTACAATTGGGGAGGCTACAGCAGCTGGATATTGCATTCTGCTGATTTGCAAAGGAACCAGTTTATATACCAGCTTAAAGACAACTTAGTCCTCTGTCACAGGATATCTGCTTCCTGCAAACTGACTCTATCCTTGCTTTTCACTTACAGTCCTGACCATTGAACCATTGTGGTTTAGTTATGCAAAACTGGGGATGAAGATTCAAGATATTGCTCAGATTGTTCTGCAATAAATTCGTCTGATTCAGCAGTGTCAGCAGGAAGGAGCCCATGGATGCCAAACCCCATCTCTGCAGCCAGTTGGGCCATCACGTGAAAGCAGGATTCTTGCTTCTCCATCACTCACCTCTGTTGTCCAGGTGATTTTTTGGATGTGTGACTGTTCTACTTGTCTTTGATTTCCCATTTATACTTCTTGCTAATTTCTTCATGGCTTGCAGAAGGCATTAATGTCTTCTCTGCCCCTGCAGTCCCCACTCACATAAAAGCTTCACCACAGTATGCCCTTTTATACCTTAGTCATTCTTGCATACTGCTCTACAAAGGGCATAGCTGATCCTGGGAAATCTTTTTCTCTGGCATGCTGATGTATAGTGCTTAATGTATTATCAACAACGGCAGAGCTGCCTCAGGCAACTCCAGCAACACAGAAAGCATAGGGGGTTTTATACAACAGTTCTTTCAGAAAAAAAAAAAAAGTGTATAACCCACACAGAAAACTTTCTCCCTTTGGTTTCCCACAGGTCGAAGCAGCAGTTGATGCTACACAGAAAGACAAGCCAAGGAGACCTTGCTCAGGTAAATCAAACCTGAAAGCAGTGGTAACTATGCTGGAGTTTATTTGTGCTGTCCGTTCATGTAGCACTGCAGGAGATTCACACAGCATGTACAGAAAGCAAGTTCTAGAAGGGACCCTAAAGGGCAACCCTGCCCTCATTCAGGGCTGTGCTGTACCATGCACTCCTGCTACTGCATTTGCATGAGAAAGCAAGAAAGCCTTGCTGAAAGGTTGCACGTGCTAATTAGTTTAGGGAAATAGAAGGAGGCATTTCAGAAAAACTTCACATGCCTTGCACACAGTGCAGGTCATCTTGCATTTACATTTGAGCTCCTACAGTTGAAAGATGTCTCAAGTCTGAGAGACAGGGATGCTGTCCCAAACAGATTTTTAAGTTGTTTTTCTTTTTGAAAAGTCCAAAGGGAGTGTTTTTCTTGACAAACTGTTGACAGTTCTGTAATTCTGGGCATTATGAGTGCTAGCATAAATCCCATACATGTGTTTCTATATTGAGAGTCCAAACTAACCTCATTCCCTGATCACAATGTAAAGAATTATTCAGGATTCAGAAAGAAACCAATCTTTCAGTGAGTTTCACTTAATTTAGAAGCTTGCACTGAATAGGAATTTTTAATCTGTTTGAAATCTCCTTTCAAACTGAGCTCTAGCTATAACCAATCCTTCTGACTAGCTGGGTATAGCTGGAGTGCCAACAGTTAGAAATACAAGTGCACAGTGCTCTTCTGTCCTGACAAGAAACTTGAAATCTCTGTATTCTGGAACTCAGCCAGAAATGTTCTTGCATGCTTTCTCCTCTCCTGACCTCAGCTGTCACAGTGGCCCCCAGCACCCCACAGGAAAGCATCTTGGTTTTCCATCAGACTCCATTTTGATATATCAGGGAGATTAAGAATACAGGTTTTTCAAACGTGCAGTGCTGCATGTGTTTTGTCTGTATTTCTACTATGCCATGTGTACACATCACCATCTAGGAAACTGGTACAGATATTTGTTAGAGCTAAGGGAAAGGAAGGGTTTATGAATTACATCTTTTTCAAAAAGAGACCATGCAGAATGCTGCTCAAATTGCTCACATGGCTGAGAGAGGTATTTGGTAGGCCACTGTTGCATGGCAGAAGCTGTCCTCCCACATCCTGGACAAAGCTTATACTTAGAAAATTACACAGTGAAAATGAATCTGCAGCTGACCATTTAATCCATTTTCATTTTTTTTACAATGCCTGTCCTTCTTTTACCATGGTGAACAGAGGCAAACTCGGGCACTGCAGTGGGAGAGAGCAGTGTTTAATAGGACAGAAAACATGCCACCAGTCACGTACTTCCCCTTTACTTGTTTTGTGGGTGGGGGCTGTCCCTCTTTTTGCTATTTCTTTTACCCTGAGCTCAGAAGTCAGTATGAGCAGCAACAGTGCTCATACTCACAAATGTGCTAAGGAGGAACCTCTTGGGATGGCTTCTCAACATGCTTTATCTTTTGCTGACAAATTGGTGTCAAGGCCAGAACTTAATGAAGTCTTCAGAGAAAATTTTTCAGCAATTCTGGGGATCTCAAAGGTGTGGACCTGCAGTAAAACCAGAGTAACACAATTTATCTACTTTTGCTTGTCTTTTGAAAGGCTGAAAATTCAGCTTTGCAGAAAATTGTAAAATCACCTTTCTAGCTGCACCCACTTCATTATTTTTCAGGTTTCCTTCCATTCTAAAAAACGAGCCCAGGTCACTTGCTTGGAATAATTTGAAGTTAATCTCCCACTGATGCCTTCAAGCTTGAAAGCTTCATGAGCATCTCTGCTCCACCCCTCAAGAAAATTACCTGAACAAAGCTGTCCAGACATGGATTGTCTGTGATTCAACTTCCCTCTGCACTGTGGAGTGTCACCAGGTAGGTGCCACTCTTTTTCCAGAAGGACAGTAACAAAGTTTGCTCCCCTGTGTGTTGAAGAAACTCAGGAGACAAGATGTCTTCCCAAAGCACTCCATTTCCAGTGCTGGACTCATGTTCCTGTCACCACAGAGGGCTTCCAATGCTTGGGTAGGAACTTTTATGGGATTGGCTCATGTACCACAGAACTGGCTTGCTTCCCTCATTCAGATGTAGCAGGAAAAGCAAATGGGCAGCACCTTACAGGGCTGTTGAAGATTGGGACAATAGTTGTAGAAATGGGGCTTTCTAAGGTAAGTTAGTTTTCCTGACCATTAGCAATTTTGAGGGAAAATATAAACAATGTCTTGACTCTGGAGATATTAATGTAAACTTGCCAAATTTGCTTCTTTCTACTGAAAAATATGTGGGTAGAAACATTTTTCTTAATTGTAGGAGTTAAGGGGTTTTTCTCCATATGAAAACAGATAAGGTTTTCAAAGGAATTGGTAGTACTAATCTCCTGGTAGAAAAACACCCACTTACTAAAATCAGAGGCCCATTGGCCATCTCAGTCCACAGACCAGGAACTGACAACACAACTGAAATCAGCAATGTGCTGTCTGATAGAATTATATACATATGGAAACAGAAGTTCCATATGCTGCTGCTGCTGCTGAGCAGGAGCTGGGGAGCACTGCCTTCCAGCACCCCAGAAATCAGGCTTCTGGCTCTGAAGGACAGACCTCAGCTGGCCACAATCAGCAGGAGGTGCAGATTCACTCGCATAAACACAGGCAGTGATCTTTGAAAACTGCTGCTCTCAACTGCCTCATTTGCACCAGCAGTAAAACAAGGCAATGGAGTTAGTCCTGGCTGGTGAGGAGACAGGTCCTAC